TCCTTGGATCTTGTGCTGTCTGCTTACCACAAACCGACCACCTCAAACTTTCTTTACAATTCAAAACAAAAGACACGTTAGAATGGACTCACTCACTCCTTATTATCATTATCATTTTTTATTTTTTCTTTTTTTTTTCATTTTTCACTTTTTTGGTTGATCGAACCTGATGTGGGTTGCTTACGTATCATGTGGGAACATGAATCAGATCTGGCGTAGTTCGGGAAGATTAAGAATAAAGTAAATAAACTAACTCTTTTTTTTGGATTTTGGACTTTTAATTCATGAAAGAAAGACTTCTAAAGAAAAAAGAAATTACTTTTTGAATCTTGAATTTTCTTTTCAATTTTCGAAAGGTGAATGAAAATATTTTTGGATTTTGAGAAGAAATTAGAAAAAAATATTTTGGATTTTTTTTTTCAAAAAATTGGGGTCTAAAAGAAACTTTCTAAAGAAGGGAGTAAAGGAAAATATTTTTGGATTTTGTTTTTGAAAATTGTGAGCTGGAACCGATGAAGTTTGTCTATGTATCTCACATCCGGTGAGAATCAGACCCGCGTTGTTCACCCATTTTGATATAATTGGAAAACATGATATTGACTCACTTTCATTTTTTTTGAAATACATTTTTTTCCTTTTTTTTCAAAAATTTTGGCAAAGTTTTGAGGTATTTTCAAGTACCGGGGTTTTCAGAACCGGGTGAATTTTCTATCCTACCTCACTCTTGGTTTTCCTGTTGTTTTTATTTCCTTAGCCGGTCAATATACAAGCCGAAGCAAATAAATGTACAAATATCACGTAAGATGCATCAGGATGGTCTTTAATTTGGGTACACCTGTCATAGACGGACCCAACCTCTGTGTTGAGTCCCCAAAGTAAAATACACGTGATGCAAACAAACGTTCCTACTAGGGATCCATCATGAAGTTATGTTATTCTAAGTTTAAAATTGGGGTTGGGTTCTTGACCTGGCTTACCCGAGCGGATAACTCGAGCCGAAGAGGGGGCAACGTACTGGGAGCACGAAAGTCTACCCGGCCTTGTTGCTGGCCCAACCTCGTTCTATCTAGTATAACTTCTAACAGAAAAATTGGGCCATGCGAACGTGTGTACCATTTTCAGAAGACTTAAAGGGGTGGCGTGAGAAGACAGTTATATACAATTCAAATAATATTAAAGCGGTAAACAGATATCATTTAGCACAAAAGGTTCACAGAATACAGTAATATTAACAATAAATGAAGCCAAGTAAAAATCATATTAACAAGCTCTAATTCTTGAACCCTGAAATAGAGATTCGGGGTTCGATCCCCAGCAGAGTCACCAGAGCCGCCACACCTCCTTTTTTACACCCGAGATGAGGGATATAAGGGAATTTTTCCAATTAAAGTGACAATAACCGAAACGGAATTAATTATTAAATTCAGAGTCGCCACTTGGGATAATTTACGGTGTCCCAAGTCAGCAGTTTAAAATCCCGAATCGAGGAAGTTTGACTCTGTTTTATAGTTCGCAAACACAGAAATCCGAGTAAGGAATTCTGTTAACCTGGGAGAAGGTGTTAGGCATTCCCGTATTTCTTGGTTTTAGCATGGTCGCTTAGATCATACTTGGCTTAAGTAAATTTTTTAATTACGTGTTTTAGAACCTATGTGCATTTTTACCTTTTACCACTTTTATTTGAAACGAATCACGCATACGTATATTCATTTTTTTGGCATGTCAAGAATCATGTCACGCGTACGTGTACACAATTAATAATGTTTTTGTTAATTAAGATTGTTGCGTCCAAAGTTGCGCGAACACATACCTTGGTTTTAACTTTAGAAATCGTGGCTATGTCATGCAAACGTGTACATAATCACGATAATAAATTCAAAACGCGCCTAAAGTACTCTAACGGTGTTCATTGTTCTTCCTAAATTTTGAGATTATTGTACCAAATTTATGAACAAGATATTATTAGGGCAAAGAGCTAGATAACATGATCTATTACTTGGCCTAAATTCCTTATAGTTCAAGACTCACCTTATGACCCATTATTATTCTTTGCCAAGAAAGAAACAATTTCAATTTTTCTATCTACCCACTTAAAAGCATTTATTCAAGAACCAAGACTACATACATCACAAATCGAAATAAAACTAATTAAAACAATTTAAATGAAAACTAAGATATGCTACTCAAACAACATAGAATCGCCAATTAACATACGCACCAAACTATTATAACACAGTGAAATGAGAATAAAAATTGAGAAATGAACCTTTTATTGATGAACAAAGCTGAAAATTGCAAATCAATCGGGCTAAACAAAGCAACAATCCTTGGACTAAAACACCGCAATTAACAAACCAAAACCTCGACATATTTTCCAAAAAAGAATTTCGACCAAGCTCGATTTCTTGAGATTTTTGCCAGGTCTGAATTTAGCCCTTTTCGAGCTAATTGAAAAGTAAAGTCTTTTCCAATAATGTCAGTGGGTCTAGCCTTTTTATCAATTGCACAACATGAAAAAGTGAGTTCTGCAAACGTTTTCAATTGCAGACTTTTCCAAGCTTTTTCATCCGCGACCAATCAGCTTCGATCTCAATTTGGAATTCATTTTCTAACAATCAGCAAAACCAACAGACCAGTAGTCTTTTATCGTTGATGTACCTTTTTTTTAGTCTAGGTCTAGGAATTGAAAACTTAGGGTAGGGTTCTATAATTGGGTATTTTATATGGAGGTGGGAAGGGATGATGGCCATTGGATTAGAAGGAAATAGATGGCTAGGATTAAATCTTGCACTTAAATGAGCTAATGGGTTGGGAAGAATGGGCTAAGGGTAATTGGGTTGGACCATGTCTTTTGAGTTTGAACTTAGGCTAAAAAGACCAAATAATACAATGTATCTATAAAAATATAAAAATCACTCTAAATTAAAATAAACTAATATAAAACTAAATACTTGATAATAGGTTAAATCTAGGTAATTTGGCGATTGTTTATGCTCCCACTTGATTATATTCCAACATCATAATATGGTTCATTGATGAAAAATAGGCTCTAATTGTGAATTGTATATATTGCAGGATGAGGAGCCTAGGTGATGCCTTAAATAGTTGTGATTGGAACCATTTTGAAGCAAGAAAGACCCCTCAGAGCTGAGTACGCTTGAAGACGAGGAACAAAAGTGATGAAACACAGAACTGGACATGCGCGCCCAGGTGCGCGACTGCGCTACTTTTAGCGCGTCCATGACAGAATCTCAGCCAATTAGCGCGGCCAGATGCGCGGTCAGGTGCGAGGTCGCGCTAGTCCAAAATCCGGGAAGAGTTATTTAGGGGCAGAATTGGAAATCTGGAGGAAAACTCACTTAACCTATATAAAGTCAAGCTCGCCCAAGGAAGAGAGGAGAGGTTTTCCATAGTCTAGTGCAAGAAATAGAGAGACAAGAGGCAAGGAGGAGATTTGACCATCAAGTTCTTCTTTTCTTCTCTTGGTTTTTGCTATTTGGGATGAAATTGAACCTATTTGTGATGAACACTAGTATGAGTAGCTAAAACCCATTGTTCTAGGGTCATGGGTGAAACATGAATGTTGTTGTTTGAAGTTTAATTTGACAAAGTTGGTTTATCATATTGGGTTGTTTATTTAATTCTGCTTTTAATTATTTTGCTGAGTAGCTAACAGTGAAATACTATCTACGAATCTTTAGTTGAACTCGAAAGTGGGAACTTTAGATTGCATATAGAATTGAATAGGGCAAGTTCTTGAACCTGGGCCTCGGGGAACGGATTAGCATTTCGGATAGACATATACCCAATTGCCTTGCTTGGTTGAAATACAGGAATTGTAAATGCATTCTTGTTAATATTAATTCCATAGACATATAGGCATTGAGTTAACTTGAATAGGCGAGTAAGAACTCGACAGATTCTTATGAGTAAGATTTACACTGTCAATCAACAATCCAAGTAAATCGATTAGTCATTTTAAGCTAAGAACATAACACGATTGTTAACTAGCCTGTGACCCTGGAATATCCACTCCTACCATTTGTTACTCGAAATTGTTATTTGTTTGGTTAATTGCTCTAGTTAGATTATTGTTTGGTAGTTTGGGTAGTAAAACAATTACATCTCAATTTTGTGAAGAACCAAGGATAGACAAATTAATTGAGTTTAAATTAGTCAACAGTTAATCATAAGTCTTCGTGATACTCTACTCACTACTTTATTACTTGACGATCAAGTGCACTTGCGTGAGTGTTTTTGGTCGCAACAAGTTTTTGGCGTCGTTGCCGGGGACTTAAAAATTAGCTACTTGACTGAGTTGAGCTTTTATTATTTATTATTCAAGTTTTAATTTTCAGTTCACTTTGTTTGTGCCAATACAGGTTTTCTTTTCTTGAATGCGAAGAAGTAGAAGCGCAAACAATCTCCTTCCTCTTGATCCCGAAATTGAACGAACACTTCACAGATTGAGGAGGGAGGTGGATGCTAGAACCAGAATTGAAAGAGAGTTGGACATCGCAGTTCAACCACAGCCAATTGAGATGGCAGGTAATGAGGAACGCGAGGTGATCGAAGCCGCAAGGCCCAGTCTGACTAATATGACTCAGGCTATTATGAAGCCTGATATCACTAGGCCCTTTGAGCTAAAACAATACATGGTGCAGCTGATCCAATCCACAGGGCTATTTGTGGGCTTACCTCATGAAGACCCGCAGAGGCACATTCAGAATTTCTTAGAAATTACGAACACTTACAATTATCCGAACGTTTTCAAGGACTATGTCAGGCTGACACTTTTCCCCTTTTCACTGATCGGGGAAGCTAAGGAGTGGTTGAATAAGGAGCCAGCGAATTCAATCCGCACTTGGGATGATCTGGCAAGGAAATTCTTAATCAAGTTTTTCCCCACTAAGAAAACAAAGATATTGAGGAGTCAAATTCTTGGGTTTAAATAACGAGCTGGCGAGACACTTCGTCAAGCATAGGAAAGGTACAAGAAGATGCTCAGAGACTGTCCTCATCATTGCCAGACGGACGAGGTATTGGGTCACACTTTTGTAGATGGGTTAGATGATGCTTCAAATATGAATCTTGATTCAGCTTGTGGGGGTAGTTGCATGGCCAGACCGTACAGTGAAATCCAAATCTTGCTGAATAACTTCACTACTAATGATAATAACTGGAAAGGTGATGGTGATTCACGAAAGGCAGTTAAGCAAAAATCAGATGGGTTACTTGAGCTCGACGAAGTGTTAGCCATGAGAGCCGATATTGCAAAGCTGGCCAATCAGATGACTAGGATGACAATGCAGCAACTACAGACAATGCAACATGTACAACAAATGACTATTTGCTGCGAACTTTGTGGCGACAGTCATATGAGTGATATGTGCCCCACAAATCCAGAATCCATCTATTATGTAGGGCAACAAAACAGAGGTCCATCGAATCAGTATGCACAATACGGGAATTCTTACAATCCAAATTGGAGGAATCATCCCAACTTCTCATGGGGTGGAAATCAGCAGAATCAGAATCAGCATAGACCCCAAGGGAGTTTCAATCAGCCTCAGAGACCACCCCAACAAATGGAAGAAAGTACCAATGATTTGCTAAAGAAGTTGTTGATTGACAATCAGCAACTCAGAACCGACTTCAGAAATCTTGAGAGGCAAATGGGGCAGTTAGAAACAAATCAAAACACTAGACTCACAGGCGCTCTCCCCAGTGATACAGAAAAGAACCATCAAGTGAATGCAGTTACACTTAGAAACATGAGGGAGCTAGAGGAAGTGCCAAAGAAAAAGAAAGCCAAGCCCATACCTGAGGGAGAGTTGATCCCTAAAGTGACTCACGAGCCAAAGAATGCTACTGAAATTACAAAGCCAGTGGAGGCCCCAAGGCCACCACCACCTTTCCCCCAGATATTGTAGAAAAAGAATGATGATCGTATGTTCACAAAATTTCTCTCTATGTTGAGCCAGGTTCAATTGAATATCCCATTTGTTGATGTGCTTCATGAAATTCCAAAGTATGCTAAGTACATAAAAGATATAGTGGCTCACAAGAGAAGATTAACTGAATTTGAGACAGTGGCACTTACTGAGGAGTGCACTTCAAGGGTCCAAAATAAGCTCTCTCAAAAGCTTAAGGATACTGGCAGCTTCACGATTCCTGTGCGCATTGGTAATATTGATGTGGGTCGTGCTCTTTGCGATTTGGGGGCGAGCATAAATCTGATGCCCCTATCTTTGTTCAAACAATTGGGCCTGGGAGCTCCAAGGCCCACTACTGTGATGTTGCAACTGGCTGATATATCGATAGCACACCCTCAAGGGGTGATTGAAGATGTGTTGCTGCAGATTGGGAAATTCATCTTCCCTGCTGATTTCATTATCCTCGATTATAAGGTTGATGAACTGGTTCCAATCATATTGGGGCGACCTCTCTTAGCTACTGGTGATGCAATTATCAAAGTGAGAGAGGGAAAGATGATTTTGAGGGTAGATGACGAGGAAGCAGTGTTTAATGTCTACAAAGCAATCCAACTTCCCCGCCACTATGAGGAGCTCTCAATGATATCTATTGTTGAGGATGATGAGCAGATTCATTATCCGAGTGTATATCTAGACGATTCTCTAGAAAAAACACTTATGTTGCTTGATAACCTTGGGGCTAACGAGGAGGTTGAGGAGATGATGCACATCCTAGATACATCTTGTGCATACATGCAAGGGATACACCCCTTTGAGCCTTTGAATAGGCCAGAGGGACCTCCTCCAAAGCCGTCAATTGAGGAAGCCCCAAAATTGGAGCTTAAACCTCTTCCACCTTACCTGCAATATGTTTATTTGGGTGACTCTGACACTTTACCCGTTATTGTTTCTTCTGACTTGTCTAAATTGCAGGAAGAAAAGCTGTTGAGAGTGCTACGTGAGCACAAGCGAGCACTTGGGTGGAAGATGTCTAACATTTCAGGGCATTAGCCCATCCTTTTGCATGCACAAAATCCTCATGGAGGACGGACACAAGCCTAGTGTAGAGCAACAACGCC